TTATAAGTTTTTTTCTAACGTTTTAAAGGACTTTTATATAAAATTATATAAATATCTTACCTCCAACATCTGCCCATATAAACTTGTTATCACCATCAACCAAAGCTAGCATGACTATGTAGAAGAATCCCTTATAGTTGTGGTATAATGAACCTGAACGAGCCTGTTTCTTTATGGTAATATGCTTTCCATCCAACGCTCCACAGCAATGTGGGAAATGCCATTTGCGCATAAATTGATCAGCAATTGCTTTTCATTACTCTGGATCATTTGGAGGAGTCACACCATCATCTGTATATTCATCAATAATTGCACTGCATACTGACTACAGACAAGGTGTTACTAGGAACTCTCCAGGAAAATTTCATATCGGCATAGGTCGATTCAGCAGCAAGATGGCGAAGAGTTGCGGCTAGTTTTAACCAAGGATCTAGCGGTTCTCTTTGAATATACAAAACGGAACATTTAAAATTAACATTATAATTGTTTACATTCATTGTGTAATACCATTTTATTTTATTTACTTTTCTAGATTTAATATTGTGTACTTTGTTACGTATTACAGCTTGCAATTGCTTATTGATAATTTATGGACGTTACTCGATTATCAGACAGTCGGACAGTACTATTGCGTACTGATTATTTTACTGTATTCGTAATGACAGAAAACGGACAGTTTTTTAAGCCATAACAAAAAAACCTACCGGATCCATGTATATTGTTTGGAAATCCTATGCTGGATCCTCTGAAGAACTTCATCGTACATTTCTACGGGCATTCACATAAAATTCTTGAAACTGCTTTGATCTTCTTGTCTAAGTTCAAGGAAAATGACATCTGTATCAAACATAAACTTTTAGCTACCTCTTTACAAGCACAACAAAATACAATGAAAGTTCCAACTATGTATTGGCTTCCGAATCTGCATAAACCTTCTTACAAATATAGATTTATTTCGTCTTCAAGCCATTGTTCCACTACTAAACTATCTATTCTACTTACAAGTACACTTGGTACAATCAAAAACCTGGTAATAAATTGTTCAAATGACGACTTCAGTATGTACACTAAAGAGATTTATCCTGCCGAACTGACTTTAAATAAAGCTAATACTAACAATGAACACTGCCCTTTCCTGGATCTTGATATCTTTATCTTTGACGGGAAACTTAATACCAAAATTAATGATAAAAGAGATGATTTTTCATTTCCTATTGTTAATTATCCATTTTTAGATGGTGACGTTCCGGATCCCTTGTCGCCATCTTATGGAGTTTTTATATTTGAACTTGTTCGATTGGTTCTTGTATGTTAAAACGTATTTGATTTCAACGAAAGAAATCTCTGCATTACTGAAAAAATTATTACACCAGGGTTTTTGATATCACAAACTAGTCAAAAAATTTGATAAATTTTATCATCGGTATAAGGACTTCATTCGTAAATATAAATCAACATGCATACATCATATACGTTCAGGTATTTCACATCCAATATTTTATGGTAATATTCTTTACACAAAGCACAAAAATGTCGGCATTCATCTCAAAAGCTAACAAAACCTTTAAACAGACTTATTTTGGAAAGGATATAGTGACGATACTGTTGTCAAATCATTAAGGATTGCATATTTTGGTATTAATATTGATTCACTCATAGGGCTTTGCATCGGAAATAAACACATTTATTCTACAACCAGTTGTTGGCATGATATGGGTTGTGTTCTTCTCATATATTTTATGATGGTATGATACTACACCCCGAAAGGGAGGGATTGTACTTGATTTTCATATGATGAAGACCTAATCTTTCAATCAGTTTAATTGAGCTTTGGAGCTGGCATGTCAGTAACAGGTAATAGTCCTTTGTTCATTCATTGTCATTTTGCTTAGTTTCTTTTGTTACCTATTTTGACATCGGCATGGACTTCTTTTAAACTGAGTTTTACTGTGCGTATTGCTATGTGTTTCTTTTTCTACATTGACTAGAGGTATAGGGGGGGGGGGGGGGGGGGTTGAGATCTCACAAAACATGTTTAGCCCGCCGCATTTTTGCGCCTGTTCCAAGTCAGGAGCCTCTGGCCTTTGTTAGTCTTGTATGTTTTTTTTAAATTTTAGTTCATTTATATGTTTTGGAGATAAGTGTGACGTCAATTATCACTGAACTAGCAGACAATTTTATTTAGGGGCCAGCTGAGGACCACCTCCGGGTGCAGGATTTTTTCGCTGAATTGAAGACCCATTGGTGGACTTCAGCTGTTGTCTGCTCTTTGGTCGGGTTGTTGTCTCTTTGACATATTCCCCATTTCCATTCTCAATTTTATCAACTAATAGTTGGTCATACAATCCGAACTGCTTTCTCTGTGATACCCACGGTTGCTGCCATAGATGTCTTCGCAGACGTCTTCGACGCCTTCTAATACCTTATAGGTATTGGTGCATGTTAAGGTGAATTTGGTCTACATGTTGTAGAGTCATGGCTAGAAGATATACCCTCCTGAATCTCTCCAGGCAATCCATTATAGCAAGTGCCAAACTGAACACTGCTCAACCTTTATATACCATTTTATACATGCACTTGGATATGCAAATTGACGGACATATGCCACCATAAATGTCAGAGCAAGTTTCGTTGAATGTCAGAATACGTTTTTGATACGCCACAGGTGCGTATTATACGTTCATGGAGCGCTGAAACTACTCCAGGCGTATGTTACAAACACTCTCCGCATACGTCCAAGTAAACGTCGAACGATCTCAAACTTATCTGTAGCATTTTTCAACGCGCTTGTAACGTATGTAGTACGAGCGTGTAGCGAACAGGTATACGCTTGACAAACGCTAGAGCTAGATAAAAAATTTTATGCTGCATAAAATGTCCTGGAGTTAAAGCGTTCACCAAGCGTATACCTATGCATTTCGACGTACTTCAAACTTATGCAACGCGTGTCTAACGATTGGTTAGCGTTCCTCTTGCGTGCACCTAACGTATACGGACTAAGTCAATTTTCTCTGTACGTCTGGTGCATGTCGGTCTATACGCCAATGTGTGACGCCGGCATTAAGACTTGAAATTGCAGAATTTAACATAGAACGCAATGGGGCTATGAGTAAGTGGTTTTGTTCCTATTACTGAAATGCACGTGAAATATAAATTTATGAAATTATACCCAGGAGAATCAAAATTTATCACAGTTTTTGTAAGAAATAATGTTGAATTAACATTTATGAAAATCCTAAAACTGCTACAATACGCTATTTCAGCCATTTTGGTCATTTAGCGTGCATACAGTTAAGACTTAACCTAAACTAAAGTTTAACTTAAACTAAAGTTTACATTTTTGCATTACTCTAGACTGATATATAGTAATAAGAAAGCTTTTGGTCAAATTATCTTATGATTTTTTATGTTTATTGGGACTCTTATTGTATCATTTGATTACTTAGGAAATAAGCATATACTTATATAAGAATTCCAACTGTCACATCAAATAAAATTTTCAACCATTTTATGAAGCTTTCTAGTTCAGATAGATAAATTGTTCTTGTTTATCCATGTTATTGCATATTAGTATAGTTTTTTATATATAAAAAAACACCCCACTTCCAAAAAGCAAAGAATTGGAAAAAAAGGGGCGACATGATTCTCAATTATATATGTTATGTTTGGCTACTACATTTATGCTCAATGAACAATATCTGATAAGAATAAGAAATATAGGTGAAAACATTGTTATTTGAGTAAATATTAACACATGAGAACTGGTAATAATGGAAAGAGACTCATATTGGTTACTATTATCATCCATTTGCAATTTTCTTTGTATATCGCATATGTTACTACCAGTCAAATTGAGCTTGAATTCAATTGAATAGTGTTTGGACTAAAGCTTCATGGGGTTTTCTTTGCTAGAAATAGATCATAGGGTCATAGAAGGAAATAAAGTAAAGTAGAAGTCAATATAGCAAGTTTGGTGCTGTTATAGGTATAGAACCACTAACTTAGGCCCGGTCTGAAAGAACACAAAAGAAGTAGTAAACATTGAAACAAAATAACATTGCTGCAATGTTGTCAATAAGTAACATATTTGGGTAATTTTGGTATGAAATGAAAGCGTAAGGACTTGGGATTACATGAGAACCCTTGTTGAAACTTTCTTTTTTATTATAAAAAGAAATATAAAATCAAGATAAGATGTGATATTTGCCCTGTTGTTCAGATCAGAAGTATCTGTTTTAATACTTCTAAGCCTCAGCGAACCAGAGCGCTCAAATATGCAATTTAACCTATGTTGAATTTTTCAGCACAAGTCAGGGTAAGGTATAGTTTTGACATTAAATGACTGTCGCATTAGCTATGAATACTTGAAAATCCAGAGTTTAAGAAAGAAGGCAATGGAGCTATGAATTAGTGGTTTTATTCCTTAAGTCGAAAAAAGCCCTGACATTACCTCACTAAAAGTTAGTATATCTTTCTGGTGGGGTTCGTATTGCTTAGTCTTTAGTTTTCTATGTTGTGTCATCTGTACTATTATTTGTCAGTGTGTCTTTTTGTTTTTGGCCATAGCATTGTCAGTTTGTTTTCGATCTATGAGTTTGACTGTCCCTCTGCCAGGCTCTGGTATCTTTCGTCACCCTTTTTCAAACAATCAATTATTTTTATGATAGGCCTATGCTTATTATTATTATTTAATTGCACTCTGTATATTTCTTTCTCATGTGTATATGTTCTGCTTATTTTATACTTCCCTTAAGAATTTGTATACTACTTTAACAGTTTTCCCTTTGAATACTGCTGAACGTGTCCTCATTTTTATACAGTTAACTTTTATGTGAAAATTACAAGGGACAATTTTGTTAAGCAAAATCTGGGATATTATTTGCATTTGTAAACAAAACAAAAATACGTATAAGTAGAAAGAAATATTTGTAATTTGAATCTAAAGCTTCAAGAAGTGATAATTACTGCTTATAATATAATATTTCATTTTACTTGAACAGAAACCTTTGGAACCATGGTTGACAAGATTAATATAATGATCAACATTTTTGGAAATGAAGAGAACAGGGAAATATTAAAACCCACAGACTTAGAAGGAAATGGTATACATTATCACCAAGGATTAGAATAGATAACAGAAACGGGGAATGTATCAAAGAGACATCAACCCGACCAAAGAACACAAAATATACCAAGGTCACAAATGGGTCTTCAGCGCAGCGAGATAATCCCGCACCCAGAGGCAGGCTATAGCTGGCCCCTTAACAATGATATATACTAGTTCAGCAAAATAGACGCCACTCTTAACTCCGAAACATACAAATGAACCAAAATAATAATAAAAAAAAACAACACAAGACTAGAGGTTCCTAAATTGGGACAGGCGCAAAAATGTGGTAGGGATTAAATATATTTTGGTAGATCTCAACCCTTCCCCTATACCTCTAGCAAATGTGGAACAAACAAACACAGCAATACGCACATTAAAACTCAGTTAGAAATATGTCCGAGCGCAATATTAGAATAAGTAACAGAAGAACCTAAGGAAAATGACAATGATCAACATAAATTAACAAATGACTTCTGCCCAGCTCCAGACCTCATTTAGACTGATCGAAAGATTATGTTTTCATCATATGGTTATTTTAATATTTTAATATTTCTTTGATTGATTAAGAGGGTGCCCTTAGATGAAAAATCTCTAATGAAGTTATCTTTTCAGCAATCAAAACAATTTAAAAACAAACTCTTAATTGTGATCATTATGAAAATTATTTCAGACGTACAGAGAATCCACATACCAGTATTGTTACAACTTGACCTACCAGAATCATGGGATAAACATAAAATTTTTGAAGCAGTAGATGAAATGAGATTAAAAGGAACCCCCGACATGAATATAAGAATTAAAACTATTTTAACTGATGACCTCGACATGATTTCAGAAATAGCTAATACGATACTACGCAATGTTCACGAACTACGTTCAGAAATAAACAAAATTATGTCTAGTATGTTATCAGAAGCCGAAATTACCACAAAGTCATGATGAAGTGGGATTTAACTTGAAAATACCAGACAAAATAGGTAAATGCTGTTTCTATTATTTTAAAAATGTGATCTTCTTTCATTCTGAGAGGTGTAGTTATATACTTTTACAACCGGAAAACCCCCCAAAAAGCGCGTAATAGAAAGGTCCAATTAAAAAGCGCTTTGCTCACACCAACCTGTTTTAAGAGTTGACTTCATCTTAGAACTAAATCGTAGGATCTGACTAAAATCCGATTCAATATGTTGAAATAAATGTTACAAGAGATTTGATTATAGCTATAAGAAATAAAAAATATATCTGTCGTTGCTGAAATAAAGATCAACACATTTTTACTATATGCAATATACAACATGTACAAGCTTTGTTTATCAAAATAATTTGAAAGTTACGGTTTCAAAATTGTCATCAACGATTTAAGATCTCTGAACCACATTGAATCTACATCTCTCCATAACCCGTAAAGTTTTTCGACACGTAGGAAAAACAATATAACTGTTTTGTATTTTAAGCTTGGTCTACGTAAAACAAAAATATTACTGTCACAAAATAGGTTTACCTAACAACTCATAGCGGACCTAATCAAACAGATATTTGAGATAGTAATATTGTAATCTTTGTAATAGGAATACACCTCCGCTAATATATTTTGGTACGATTGGATGTCAAATAACTAAACAATATCCCTAGATTTGTACTTAATAATCTCAAAAGAGAGGCGAAAGATACCAAAGGGATATTCAAACTCATAAGTCGAAATCAAACTGACAATGCCATGTCATGGTGTTCATGTAATCTAGTGATACGTTTTATTCTGTAGTAACATTCGAAGAAAAAAGGAAGGGATTGTGGTAACGACAATTTGATCATATCCGTCGTCATATGTGAAACAGCTGGTATTCCATAACGGTCAACCATCTCGTAAAGGCGTCCGTACAATTTTCGAAGGAATGATATCAACTTCACCACTTGAAACTTTTGATTTAATAGCATCTTTGTCAGCAGCAACCCTCTATCAAAGAAATCATGATAAGAAATGCAAGCTCAAGAATATCGTATAAATCAGAGATATATACTCCATATGCATATGCTACGGGAATGTTGCTACATAGAAATGGATAGTTTACAACTGGGAAGCTAAAATCAGCTTTTTGTCGTAACGTTTTGTTCTCAATCGAACATGTATATGTTGTATCCTTTATTTCAAGTTCGATGGGATAGATGCATTTTCCTTTAATTTTATTTAGATATGAAGAGCACACAAAGCCAACCAAGTTTGCTTGTTTTAACCCGGATGAGACTTTTACGCCAGATATTTTAGACAAATGTTTAGGTAACAATCCTGACTGATAATCATAATCAAGTTTGTTCCTATGTAGATGGTAATAAAAATTTTGGTAGACTATCCTCTCCACTACTTTTACTACAAAGAAAATTAAGGATATAGGTCGATGATTAGTTTGTAGGAGTGCATCTTCTTTCATGAAAATTGCAATTACAATCACTTATTTCCGTGAAGAAGGGTCTTTACCTCCGGAAAACGAATAGTATTATTATCAAAGGTTTTTATTTTTTTATAGGGAGTTGAAAATTATAAGCAACTTTTGACTGATTTTATCTAATGTAGATGGTTTTTATTATTAGAGCAAAGTATTTATTTAATACTTCATGTTTGTCAGTGCCGTCCTTTATGATGTTATCAATGTATTTATTATGTTCGGATGCGTAAAATTGCATTATTTGCATTTGATTTTAATGAAGCCTTTATTATTTTTTACTTCACTTAATATAACCAAATTGGGATATATATCCTTATGTTCTTCTATTGATTTGTCCGTTCGTCCAGACCAATTTCTTTTAAACAAAAGAATGAATATTAACAAAACTTTACATACTTTGTAAGCCGTACTAAACTTGTGCATCTGCTATTTTTTTTTTTAATCAGAATCATTTTCTAGGTTTTCTCATGCCAAAACATTGGATTTTTTAGGGTGAACAACTTCAACTTATGGTTATCCCTTCCGCACCTCATCCTAAACAAGTGTGTGGATTTTAAACTTGCAATGGTTGTTTTGTTTACACCGGTTTTAGTCTTATCTATCCTTTGTCAGGATTAACTGATCATATGTCAAATTATACCTTCTGTCAAGTTTCATGGTTAGAAAACTTACATGACCGATAGTACTGAGTTGGTGATATTTATAGATTAGATAAGAGTCAATTACCAATCCGCAATTTTGTGATGCCTAGTCACCTGATATGATTTATTGTTTAGAAGAAAAAAAAAATGACTGGTGTCATATGTAGAGCTGAATCTGCTTTTAGTGAATTTAGTCTTAGATGCATGAATTTTTTATTAGTTGTTAGTGGCTTTGAACTAGCTGTCAGTAACTGCGAGTACTCTCAAATCTGTACTTAGTGTCTTTTTGTTGTTTGGATGTACAAGTACCCGGCCACGTCCACTTGTAATTGTAGTATTTGTATTTTTATCCATCTGATGAGTTAAGCCTCTTTCAAATGATTTTTATAGTTCGTTCTTATGTTGTACTGTTACACCACTGTCCAATGTTAGGGGGAGGGCTGGGATCCCGCTAACATGTTTAACCCCGCCACATTCTGTATGTATGTGCCTGTCCAAAGTCAGGAGCCTGTAATGCAGTGGTTGTCGTTTGTTTATGTGTTACATATTTGTTTTTCGTTCATTTTTTGTACATAAATTAGGCCGTTAGTTTTTCTCGTTTGAATTGTTTTACATTGTCATTTCGGGGCCTTTTATAGCTGACTGTGTAGTATGGGTTTTGCTCATGGTTGAAGGCCGTACGGCGACCTATAGTTGTTAATTTCTGTGTCATTTGGTCTCTTGTGGAGAGTTGTCTCATTGGCAATCATACCACATCTTTTTTTTTTTTATTTACCCTCCGCAGCACTCACTTGAGATCACCCTCGGTTTTTGGAGTGCTTCGTGTCGCTCAGTCTTTAAATAATGTAGTTTTGTGTATTGTGTTTTGTATACTGTTATTTGTCTTTTGATCGAATTTCCGTTTTTTCTATGACATTGTCAGTTTGTTTTCCAACTTAAATGTTGGACCATTCTTTTGGTTTCTTTCGCCTCTTGTTCATGAATTCTTCATAATGTAGATATGCTTTTATGTTTATTGAAAAAAGGTACCCCTTTTAGATTTTATTGTTGAGGTGACACATATCAGGCCATTGCTTTTTATGAACCGGTTCTCTTATTTTCTCGTTTGAATTTCTCGTTTATATTTTGACATCTCGGGGCGTTTTTATAGTTCACTATATACTGATCGTTTTAATGCCGTACGATTACCTATAAATCTTTAGTTCATGTCATTTTATCCCTGATGGCTATGTATCTCATTGACAATCATACAATATTGTGTTGTTATAAAGTAAAATTAAGCACAAAAATATCATATACATTCATATATCTGATCAAAGGTTATCATCACTATGTTGTGTTTTGTAGACTGCTGTCTGTTGCCTTATATTCATGGCCTTGTCAGTTTGTCGTCGACCTGTGAGTTTCACCATAACTTTGGTATCTTCCGCCCGCTTTTACATGACATAAGTTTAAATAAACTGAGATGCATTATTCATAAATGTCATGCATATCCAAACTACGAAATGTCACATAATCATTAAAAAAGATAAAATGGCAATAATTTTAAATATTAGTTACATTTTGATAATCTTAATTTTTGTTTTCCAAATGACCACCTTTCTACATGATCATTCTAGAAATACCTGGATGGTCAGATTTAGCTGCTGGTATACAAATTGTGGAAGAGAAAGATATCAAAACATGTTCTTTGGATTTTTATAACAAAAAACAAGATAAAAGAAAGGTACTTATTTTTAGTTTCTCTCTCCAATATCTCAATCATTTAGTGCAATCTATTGTCATCACTTATCTATCTTTATTCTATAATAAGTTATGCCATTAAGACATAGCAGGTTATTTTGCAACTAATATTTTCTGTCTCAGAGATTCAAATGAAACTTGTGTTTTACGTGTATTAGTTTATGTATCTCATAAACTCAATTATAATATGTATTATGTTCCCATTTTACAAAAATTGTTCTTCATGAATTCATGAACATTAGTAAATTAAGCAAAACAGTAAAGTTTTAAAATCTCTACATGCACATGATGCAGCAACTTAGTAAAGCCTAATAAGCAAAATAAGCAAATAACTAACTAAATATTGATTAACACAGATTACAACTCTCATCTCAAGTGCTAATTTGAAGACCGAAATAATATATGCGTATATCTTGATCAATAACATCATGGTTACATCATCAAATATTAACCTTAAAATATATATAGATTTATAACTAATGTGTTTAGTGTTTAAAACATGACCTCATAACTATGTTCAATTATGCATTTTAGATGCTAAACATAATAAAGGTTTTACGATTGTAAACAAAAGACAACTTTATCTTTTATTCTTTATTTCATTTCAGTCCATTACAATCTATTGCTTTAGATTAAATGATAATTTGGTTATGTATCACGCTCTTAACATACTAATTACTGCATAAAGATTAACACCACAGATTATTTTCTCATTTCAATCAATCAAACTTACTTAATCTTGCACATTCTGTTAAAAACTCTAAGGCTATTAAAATAATGTAAGGAAAGTATACACAACTGACATTTTAAAGAAATAATGAGGTTTTCCAAGGGTCAGTCATCAATAAAACAACAAAGCAATGCAAAGAAGCAATCTATCATGAAACCGGAATTTGTCTGGTCAGTAAGAAAATTGAAAAGAGAGTGCACAGAAATTTCCCTCCAAAAAAAAACAAGTGACCAAAATAAATATGCATGATACAATTATAGCCTTTGTATGAGGTCGATACAGATACGAATATATCTAACCTGAAAGAAGTTTATCTACTGAAGACGAAGTCTGAAATCGATATACTTCTTTAGGTTTATATATCCTCGTATCGTTCTCATGTAAAGGCTGTAATTGTCATATTAGTATTGCCAGTACGGCTTATTACTCAATCTATACTAGACAAATTAAATACCATTAATCTTTAACTAATTATATAAATAATATAAAATTCATTTTATTCTAATAAATTTAATCAACAACATATAAATATAAATAAATTCATCAGTACAAATTGTCAATTTCAAATGCTTCTCTGCCACACTTAGGCAAGGTCAGCACCTCTTGCCATGCATACATCCCCCGCAATGCGAATCCACATGCTATCAAAAGGTAACAAATGGGGTTAGGACACATTCGTTAAATTACAAAGAAGACGACTGTACCAGTACTTTAAGACCTAAGACTGCTAAAATAACTCACTGGTAAGTTGAGACTACCTATAAATTAGTTAATTACTAAACTTTAATGTCCTTTTGAATTTGAGCTATACATGGTCTTCTCAATCAGTCACTGACTGATTCCAATGAATGAGGAGAACTCACTTCAGCTAGTTTCAACCTGTCTGATATTAAAGTATTGTCATGTGTCGTCAGTAATGTATGTATTGGTTGTAGCTATATCTTGAAAAATTTCATAATTACGACATATATTTGGCTATTTCTTTTTATTTAATTCATATACAATGTCGGAGTTTAGACATTAAAAGAGAGTATTGAAATCAATGTCTTAATGACGAATGCTTCATACCTTCTTTTATCCAGATAGTTGAAATTGAAATTGAAAGCTTATGGAGATCACTTGAAGAATACAAATTTAAATCACCAGCGGCAGATGTTATAGAATCCTTAAAAACAGTGAGTAAGGTTGCCATATTGAAAACGGAACCTTTTAGTTTCCGAGAAACTAATCTCTCTCTCTCTCTCTCTCTCTCTCTCTCTCTCTCTCTCTCTCTCTCTCTGAAGATGTCTTATAGTAACGGAGATGATGAGTCTTATGTAGACGAAACGTGCGTCAGGCGTATAAAATTATAAGCATGGTACCTTTGATAACCCAAGGGAATGAAATCTTACGTTTTCTTTTTCTAAATAACAGTCTAGAAAAGCAGACACTCTGCTGAAACATCTTAAACTATTTTCCTCACTTCACATCTAATTAAGTCTTAAGTAGATATAAGAAGATGTGGTATGAGTGCAAATGAGACAACTCTCCATCCAAGTCAAAATTTATAAAAGTAAACCTTTATAGGTCACAGTACGGTCTTAGGTGTCTGGATGTGCATCAGGTAGATAGCAATTTGAAATTTTACGAATTCCTTATCAAAATGTTTAAATTAATGCTCAGTTCATTTACGTACTATTTTGACCACAATGTTATACCAATTACTTTATATTTGAAATTTAGGAAAAATATTGTTTACCGAATTGGTTGAATTAGCTATTATTTAGATTTTATCTCCATTAATTTTAGTTAATGCAGTGATTATTATGAATGTGTGTTAACATGTGAGGCTAATATTCTAGGAGCACCAGCTATATATATAAATACCAGCACAACAATGTTAAATCTACAACTTTTTGTTCTTCCCTCGCCGGGATTCGAACTCATGCTATTGGGATATCGAGACAACACCGCCTGCACTGTGTGCAGCGCTCTAGATCACTCGGCCACATAGACTGAATTTAAAATTCAGCTTTCGGCGGCCTAGTGTTACCTTTCCTCGTCAGTAGAATGTAGAGTTCTCACACAGTACAGTATATATTAAGCATGAAGATGGAATTGATTGCAGATTAGCTAAATTATCTGTCATGAAGGATCGTAAGATGCAGTCACAGAAATAATTATTTGATTAGTACGTCTACACTAGTGACAACTCTACGACAGATCCATCCATTGGAACACTAGTGAAGGTGATACACGGCTGAAAACAATATAATATTCATAATAACGAATATGAATATAATATGTGTTTTCAGCAGTGTATGACCTCCTTCACTTGTGATCCAAGAGATGATATATGTGGTACTCAAACGGATGAACTCGGTGAATTTCTATTTTATTTTTTTCTTCTTTATTCAGAATGATAAAATTGAAGATTTATGGAGAAAATTTGAGGAAAAGAAAACAACATTTCCAAGTACACATACCGATGCATTAGAAACATTGAAGTATGAAAACAAGGTATTTAGAATTAAGTAATATTCTTTTGTCTATGCACGATACACATGTCCTCTAGAATCGAGTTTTACTAGCTACTGTTAATTTTATACATATATGTTTGTTGTTTTTTCTCTCACTTCTATTGAATACCCTCACCCAGTTTTTGTAATATAGTGGAACTATAAACAACTGTCAGATTTTGCAAGCTTGAAAAACAAGTTTAACCCACTATTTTCTTCGACAAAGGCATGTGTCAAGTCAGAATCTCCGTAGACAAAAAGAGGACTACTGGATTCGACAATTGGGAACTGCGACACCATATGGTTGCAATGACAAAATTGATGGTATAGGTATTCTATCTAGTCCTTCCTGTAGCTCGGTGAATGTGATGAATATTTTCAACTCTACTCCTCGACGTAGACGCAGTCATGGTCATCGTCATTATACATCACCTACTTTGCATGATGTCTCTATTAATGACTTGCTGCCATTTATACAAAAGCCGTTAGGTATTCATCACATTCGCACGAAACTGTATTCATTACCCCTTTCAAAACTTCATTCTCTGTTCAATTTATGTTTGGAAACCACTGTTACAAACCCTCATTCAAACCAATACAAACTTACAGCTATTATTTCGGATATTGCAAGTCACAGACTTTTCAAACCAGTTCGCATTGGAAAAGATGAAAAAGAGAAAAGATCTTTTCTTAAACTTTCCTTTGCCAACAAAGGTCTCGATGGCGTCAACTTAGGCAATATCCTTCATCATAAATTAGTTCAGTCGAAAATACCTCCTTATTTTAAAGATCAGTCTGTACCAATAATTTCTTATACCTATACCAAACCAATTGCAACTAAAATTTTCAATTACAAACACGTTTTGCAGGATCTCAACATTGACGACTTCAAGTCTAAACCTCCTGATTGCACCTGTGCTAGTTCCCAATTCACATATAATCCGGCTGGCCACGTTATTACCGGAGACCTCAACATTGTCAATAACACTTTCCTGCGAAATTTGTTATCCAAAGGTCCGAAATATCGTGAGCCTAAATCCATCAATTGGAAATACAACTTCAAAATACTGATGGATTCAGTCGAGGATTATGCCAGGCAATGGGCTAAACGCGAGAAAGAAGACGTAGATACTCTTTCCGAATGGATTAAGGCTGTGAGGTCGTTGATACAAATCCGAATTAAGAAACTAAATGGGCATATCAATACCCACGCTACATCAATTTTTAAAGACCCAAATGTTGCAAAACACTTGTCCTACCTCCATGACAAATATGTTGTTGTCCCCGCAGATAAAGCCCCAAACAACATCGTTTTTGTGTGTAAATATCATTACATAAACTGCTTGATAAATGAATTAGGTATTGACAATTCACTTGGAAACTCAACATATACCCTCACGACACTTACCAAAGAGGAAATCCTAGATAATCATAGGTCTGTTCTATGTTCCTTTGGAATTTCAACCAAAGACGAAGAACTGGATCTTCCATCACTGTATTGGATACCTAAACTACATAAGTGTCCTTACAAACAACGGTATATTGCTGGGTCTTCCAAGTGCTCCACGAAACCTCTTTCTAAATTATTAACATCTATTTTATCAGCAATCAAAGCCGGGCTCCAAAGTTATTGTGAAACTGCCTATTCTAGAGGTGGCGTGAATCAGATGTGGATACTAAAAAATTCCAAAGATCTTTAAGAGTACATACAATCTAAGACTCTCTCATCTTGCAATAGTATTAAAACATTTGACTTTTCTACACTTTACACAAGTATTCCCCATTCCAAACTAAAAGACAAATTGAAAGAGTTGGTATTACTTTGTTTCATTAAAAAAAATGGCGAACGTAGATACAAGTATCTTGTCTTGGGGAGGGATAAATCCTACTTTGTAAAGAATCACTCTGATTCAAACAAAAAATTCTATGAAACTGACATTATCAAGATGCTTGATTTCTTGATTGACAACATATTTGTTACGTTTGGAGGACGTGTTTTTCAACAGACTGTCGGAATCTCAATGGGAACCAATTGTGCCCCTCTTCTTGCCGACTTGTTTCTTTATTATTATGAGGCTGACTTCATACAGGAGCTTCTTAGGAAGAGAGATAAGAAGTTAGCAATATCCTTTAACTCTACGTTCCGCTATATTGATGATGTTCTCTCACTAAATAATACAAAATTTGGTGACTATGTTGAACGAATCTATCCCATCGAACTAGAGATAAAGGATACTACAGATACAGTTAAGTCTGCCTCATATCTTGACTTACATCTAGAAATTGACAATGAGGGTCGGTTGAAAACAAAACTTTACGACAAAAGAGATGATTTCAGCTTCCCAATTGTGAACTTTCCATTTCTATGTAGCAACATACCAGCAGCGCCTGCATACGGAGTATATATCTCCCAATTGATACGATATTCCCGGGCTTGTGTTTCCTATCATGATTTCCTTAATAGAGGATTGCTGCTCACAAGGAAGCTATTAAACCAAGAGTTCTAAATGGTGAAGTTGAAGTCATCCCTTCGTAAATTTTACGGACGCCATCACGAGTTGGTTGACCGTTATGGAATAACCGTTTCACAGATGATATCGGATATGTTCTTTATGTCGTAACTACAATACCCTTCCCTTTTCACGGATGTGACTTACCGAATTAGACTATTTACCGGATTTGTAATAACATAAGCAACACGACGGGTGCCACATGTGGAGCAGGATCTGCTTACCATTCCGGAGCACCTGAGATCACCCCCAGTTTTTGGTGGGGTTCGTGTTGCTTAGTCTTTAGTTTTCTATGTTGTGTCATCTGTACTATTATTTGTCTGCTTGTCTTTTTATTTTTGGCCATGACGTTGTCAGTTTGTTTTCGATCTATGAGTTTGACTGTCCCTCTGGTATCTTTCGTCCCTCTTTCAGAAATATGACAGTTCTTTTCCATTCGTTCCATTCGTTGATAACGTTTTATTTTGTCAGGTTTGATGGACTTCCCTTTTTGAATTTGCCATGTAGTTTGATATTTTTGTTATTTTTTTTCCCTCCAAGGGTGGCATGAGAATAGACATATGATCACTAAGGTTTTCTTCCGACCGGCAGTAAAGCCCTTGCCAAAGTAGGGCATCCGTTTTGCTGTGCGGAATGTACAAGTACACAGCCACGCCAGCTCAGAATGGGGATATTAAATTCCAGCCTCATGAAGTGAGAGTGTCACGCTCTCTACAGGTTAAGAACCATTCCAAAACTCTTTGAAGGGTCGGTAGGTGGCCTGATGAATGCAAAATTGCTGTCATTATCCAATATACCCTCTTATACTAATGGCAGTCCATATTATCCCGCCATTCATCACGGACTGCTTCTGTTAGTGAACCTACCTGTTTTTTTTGTTAATACGTTCTCGCTCTGAACATGCATGAACTACTTGAAACTAGACATTGAGCAACCAACAAACAATCAATATGTTAAACATGATAAAGGCTTTATGACTAAAACCAGCAAAGACCTATCGAAACAACATCTGATACAAAAATTTAACAATACTTTTAGATATTTGGATGATATATTGGCTCTCAATAATGACAACTTCAGTATGTATACTAAAGAAATTTATCCTGTTGAACTTACTTTAAATAAAGCTAATACTAACAATGACCACTGTCCTTTCCTCGATCTTGATAACTATATCTTGAACGGGGAGCTTAATACAAAAATTTAAAAAAAAACATATCCATTTTTAGATGGTGATGTTCCCTTGTCACCATCTTATGGTGTTTATATATCTCAACTTGTACGATTCACTCGTGTATGTAACAACGTATTAGATTTTAGCGAGATAAATTTATATATTACTGAAAAATTATTACACCAGGGTTTTCGATATCATAAACTAGTCAAAACATTTACTAAATTTTATCATCGGTATAAGGACATCATTCGTAAATATAACTCAACATGCAGACATCTTATACGTTCGGGTATTTCACATCAAATCTTTTATGGTAATATTCTTTACAAAGCACAAAAATGTCAGTATTCACCTCAAAAGCTAACAAAACCTTTAAACAGACTTATTAAGAAGGGATATAGTTACGATACTGTTGTCAGGTCATTGAAAACTGCATATTTTGGCTTTAATATTGATTCACTTATAGGGTCTTTGCATCGGAATTAAACATATTTATTCTAAAACCAGTTGTTGGCATGACACGGGTTATGTTCTTCTCATATATTTTATGACGGTATAATACTAAACCCCTAACAGGAGGGATTGTGCCTGATATTCATATGATGAAGACATAATCTTTCAATCAGTTTAATTGAGGTCTGGAGCTGGCATGTCAGTAGCTGCTAGTAGTCTGTTGTTATTCATGTATTATTGTCATTTTGTTTATTTTCTTTTGTTTCCTATTCTGACATCGGACTCGGACTTCTCTTAAACTGAGTTTTACTGTGCGTACTGTTGTACGTTTGTTTTTTCTACATTGGCTAGAGGTATAGGGGGAGGGTTGAGATCTCAAAAAACATGTTTATCCCCGCCGCATTTTTGCACCTGTCCCAAGTCAGGAGCCTCTGGCCTTTGTTAGTCTTGTACCATCTTTAATTTTAGTTTCTTGAGTATAATTTGGAGTTTAGTATGACGTCCATTATCACTGAACTAGTATACATATTTGTTTAGGGGCCAGCTGAAGGACGCCTCCGGGTGCGGGAGTTTCTCGCTGCATTGACGACCCATTGGTGGCCTTCGGCTGTTGTCTGCTCAATGGTCGGGTTGTTGTCTCTTTGACACATTCCCCATTTCCATTCTCAATTTTATTCAATCTGTATTATTTTAAATAATTGAACTTATACATTATACTTCCTTTATTGCATTTTTTTCATAACCGTTATTAGTAAATTTTGACAGTAACCAAGCTGAGATTTATTAACATGATCATAATATAGTGGTTGTTATGTGTATGTGCAATATACCGGTCAATCACTTTCGACAAAAATATTGTTATATCAGCTCCAATGAGTTATGATACATAGTTTTTATAATCTTTAACAAAAGTAAGCGTGCTTTTATATACAGCAAATCATTCAAATATATCAAAACTATTGTTTTCTTATATATGTCAATAATTTATTTTACAAAATGTATATTAAGCTCGCCAGATTATGTGCTGTAAATCCTTACTGTCCCTACATGGACCGTTATGGAATAACCGTTTCACAGATGATATCGGATATGTTCCTTATGTCGTAACTACAATACCCTTCCCTTTTCACGAATGTGACTTACCGAATTAGACTATTTTTACCGGATTTGTAATAACATAAGCAACACGACGGGTGCCACATGTGGAGCAGGATCTGCTTACCCTTCCGGAGCACCTGAGATCACCCCCAGTTTTTGGTGGGGTTCGTGTTGCTTAGGCTTTAGTTTTCTATGTTGTGTCATCTGTACTATTATTTTTCTGTTTGTCTTTTTATTTTTGGCCATGGCGTTGTCAGTTTGTTTTCGATCTATGAGTTTGACTGTCCCTCTGGTATCTTTCGTCCCTCTTTCATCAAAAATGTGTTCAAGTACTATAAATACTTACAAAAAAAAAAAAAGATTGAAGTAAATAAAAAATGACAAAACCAAGCGCTCGACTATATCAACCAAGATAACGACTGGAAAACAAATATCATATCAAAGCGGTACTTTAAATGTTCATTGTCATGCTGGTTCAGTATCAATATGCATAGGAATTGAAGCTTCCTTTATGAGTTGCTTGAACAAATGTCAATCTGTCCATACAATCTACAGTTGAGTTATGCATAAAAAAAGATTCAAAGGTATATAACATACTAAAACGCCACATTCTCAAATCGGTATCCACAATTTGTTTCCTCCAATGGACGTCCAATTCAAAATTCTGGTATTAACAGAATGACGTCTAAACGGAGACTACTCCAATTGACGCAAAATATGACATCATCATCTATTTCTATTCCAAATTTAATGTTTTATTTAGACTAGAAAGATACAATAAAAGAGTTGACTAAATAAACAAAACGCCAAAGAATACAATATATAATACCCAAAGACGCAAATAAACAAAGTACATCAGTACGAACAAAGTGCAAATCAGACACATGACAGACTTGTTTGATAGTTTAACCTGCGGTAACGTGTTTCTTTATCCTGCTTCCCATATTCATTGTCGTTGAGAAGCGAAGATTTGCAATATATTCCTATACAGGCAATAATATCAAATTTCAAAAAAATACCCTTTTAAATCAACGCCGACACCTGAAATTTATAATAATAACTATTGTAGTCCCGTAGTTCATGAAACAAGTTCTCGATTTGCACTTTGCACACAGGGTGAAGTTTAGGTTGTTAATAAAATTCGTGATCAGCTATTTTGACCAAGGAACACCGACACGTTTTAAAACATTTGCTTCTTATGAATGATTTTCTCTTGATTTTGATAATAAAATTATTTTACTTGAGGTCCTTGTATTGCGGCATGATTTATCAAGCGTTAGAAGTATTATTTAATTTTTCATTTTAATTGTAGCTGAAAATGATGTTAGGAAGAATGAGAACAAAATCAGAGGTCGAATTGTATATCCATAGACGGACGAGGATAAATCTTTCGCAAAAAGAAATACATAAAAGCAACAAACACAAAACGTAAAACGAGTATATCAAACAAACTGATGATAAGGAGACAACCCGATAATGAGGAAAATGGCTGTGAAATAAATATTGGCAGTGTTAAAATCAATTTGAAAGTTTTTTTTCTCAAGAAACCGTCTTGATGAGTGACAAAATAATTGTATTGAATGGTGACTTTAATCAAATATTTTTGTGTCATTGTCATTTGTTCTTTGGTTGTATTATTTTTTTCTTTTGAAAAAAGGTTGTGTGATTTGATTGATTTTTTTCAGTTCTTGAATTATCATTTAACTGTAAGAATCAATTATGCTACCTTCAACTGTCCAATATTTTCAAGAAGAAGAGGGTTATTCTTAAAAATATTGGACATTTAAAGGGAACATAATGGTTTCTTGGAATCTGATGCGACTGTCATACAAGGGAGAGGTTTAGCTAGCTATAAAACCAGGTTTAATCCACCATTTTCTACATAAGAAAATGCCTGTACCAAGTCAGGAATATGACAGTTGTTATCCATTCGTTTGGTGTGTTAGAGCTTTTGATTTTGCCATTTGATTAGGGACTTCCCTTTTGAATTTTCCTCGGTGTTCAGTATTTTTGTGATTCTACTTTTTTCTTACAGGCAAATGATAGCCCAATCATTGAAACAAAGAACGGGTACAACAATAGAATGACGTCACAGCAATGTTTTAAATATATGTATATTCGTACTTTTTCAAGGTACCATTACCAAGTTTAGCAAATAATTGCATCATTTCCATTGTCTTTTAGGTGTACCCAATGAAGAGTGTTAACCGAGGAAAATTTATTCTCATATCAAACGTTCAAGTGAAACCACTATGCACAAAAACCCAAAACGAGGAAAAGAAGGCACAAAGATATGCAGATTATCTTCGGAATTCAGACTTTGATCTGGTCAATGTATTTCAACTTTTTAAATTCATGGGATATGATACAACAGACGGTAAACACTTTGGGAAAACAGAAGAGGTAATGTGTGATTGAAAGGGGCATTGGCTAACATGTAGACAAACAATTATATAATAAACTTGTTTTTCATTGTTGTTACATACATCAGTAAAAGAGAAATATTGAAATAATAATCTGAAAATAGAAGATTGATTGTTTCAAATTTGTTGTAAAAATACTCTGAAAGAATAGATGATAACTGATTGTCTTGTAAGACAAAGATTCGGCTACATTTTGGTCCATATGCATGCAACTTTTAAACTGACCCTTATTTAGATGGTACAAAACCACTACCTGTATACATCCTTGGCTCTCAATTAATCTGCTTTGAGTGTTCCTTATGATAAATCAAGAAAAACGAGTCGGTTCCATGGAAGTATTTTAAGTTAAGGTATATTTGTTCTTGAGATAGCTTCTCTTATGTGTGCTACATCATTCTTTCAATGAAGGGAAGTTTGTGTATTAAAATTTAAATAAGACATACATCACATATTCTTGGTCCCATTGCTTTTTATGTTAAGTTATTTCCATCTCAGGCATTTATTTGGGGCGGGGTCAATGTGCCGTTATTTGCACATAAGACAGTACTTGTTACCAGAACTTTAGATATACCAAACGGTACTCCATCATGTTCATATCTGGGAAACAGCCAATGTATGCCCTACTTTTTAAGATTTCATCCATACAGTTTTGTATTATTCCAAATCATCAATCAAAAGGTGTTCTACAAGGATCACCATTCCTTCACCTTTCAATTTGATATCTAAATTACCAATATATATTCTTAACAGTTTTATATTTACCCCTATGCGCAAGAACTTTTTTGTTTAAAATATTTACTACTTTCCGGTTTGTTCATTTTGCCAGGCACGAGTTGGTGGTGTTACATCTGACAAAGGTCCAAATCATTTGCCCTATGCATACGTGTTTTCCTGTAAAATATCTTATGTTTATCTTGATGTGCCCTGTGGTTGTCTAAATGTTTGTATTGTTTTTGCACGATTCAGTGTGATTGTCAGGCTTAATTATGAGAGTGAATGTTTGATTCCTTTGCCAGATTTCTTTGATTGATATTACCACACGGTTTTGTTCTTCAATTAACAGTTGTGATGTAATTTCGCTCAAACCAGTGCGAGAGGCCGTTTTAAATTTGAAGAGAATTATTTTGCTCCGTGCTGAAGGCCTGCCTGTGACTGTGGGATAAAGAACAGCAATAAGAACGTTTTTCCCTTGATTTTGATTTATTTTGCTGTGCCTGGACTGATTTTGTGTCATATGGATACCACATATTCTTTATTTCTTATAATTTTCATATTTTTTTTGAATATTGGTTGTGGTCTGCGTTATTTTTTATTGTAAAAAAACAATGTCAAAAGAGAAAAAATGATCCTCAAGGAAGAACTATTTCGTTGACTGATTATGCCCACAAGAAAAACAAATCTTTTAATAGTAAAACGACTATTTATATATTTTTTTATAACATTATATCAAAGACCTAGAAAATGTGTTTTTATTTTATTGCACATACTTCATGTACTTGTTTGTGTATTTATAATTATAACAATTTTGGGTCGTATGGCCACCGACAGTCAAGGGAGGTAATCTTGATTCTTAATTAGGTAGTGTAAAGCACCTAGATACTAACGATATGCTGATAGTGTTCAACGACTAATGCATTTATGATTGTCTTCTATGTAATTCTTGTACATGTTGTATGTTATAAAGTAAACAGTTCATTTGGTAGAAGTTAATTTGACAGTTTTAGACTTTAAAAATGTTTTTGTTTATTTAAAACAAAAGAAATCATGTTCAAGCCACCATATTCACCCCAATAGTCTTTATTACACTTTCCCATTCATGATTATTGTTCAACACATAGGCAGAACATATTGTGATTTTACTCAATACTGTTATTTCAGCACTGATCTGTCAGATTTCAAATTCATAAGCATTAATTGGGCTACAGAAGTAAATTGCCTTTGTGATATTTTAAAGAAACAAAGTATTTTTACCGATAACAGGCCAAATGCCTGAACAGTGCCTAATATACAGAGAGGAACTTATTAAAAAAAATTACCGAGAGACTGACATAACTTAATTTACACGGTATCATTTATAAAATATAATAATATGTTTTGTAAATATAAAAATCTATTTCAGATTATTCCAAGTCGTCAATTCAAATCAACAAGATTGGTATGAAATAATTTGATGTAATTTTTCGTTGCAGGAAATCAAGGAGATATTGAAACAAAAATTAAATGATATAGACAAGGATTCGTCTTCTATATATATAAGTATGATAGCCTTATCGTAGTTTTCTTGTCAAGTAAAATTGACCCTCAGACAACAATGATTTATGACATAGATGGAGAAGTTGTTCCAAAGGATGAAATTTTAGAAATCATAAAAGGCTGTCAAGGTTTTGAAGGGAAACCGAAAATTATTATTGTCCATACTTACAATTTTAACGGTATGTTCGTTGTTATACTCCATTTATTCATACACATATCTAGTAATTAACAAAAAGTAAAATCACAAAAATACTGAACTCCTAGGAAAATTCAAAAAGAAAAGTCCCCAATCAAATGGCAAAATCAAAAGTTCAAACACATCAAACGAATGGATAACAACTGTCATATTCCTGACTTGGTACAGGCATTTTCTTATGTAGAAAATGGTGGATTGAACCTAGTTTTATAGATAGCTAAACTTCTCACTTGTATGACAGTCGATGACAAATGTCGATGTTGATTCATCCAAAAAAAACCAATGCTGTTTATGGAATTTATTTACGTAGTCTTTAAATCGATATGTCGTGTAATGATACTCGTAATCAGACAATCATTTTGAACCTATAATATGTATGATAATTGGCGTCCAAATCAATTCTCATGTATGTGTAATTAGATGAAAACCATTCATATTAAATAAGGGGTACAAGCAATTTAAAGATATTCAAATTTCAGAAATCCATTCAAAACGTGCAAGACAAACTAAAAAAAATATGACGGATTCGCATGAATTACAAGAGGAGTGAAACCGCGTGGGTCATCATGGTAGGCGTCTCTTTCTATGTATGCACACCCCATTGCGAATCCAGGTACTGTCAAAATGTCACAGTACATGTACGAAATAGAACACAATAGGTAACCTCGTTAATAAAACAACTATTATTATACCTAAAGATATAATACGCTAATATCGCTAGTAAGCTTAGACACATGCACAACGAAAAAAACACAGTGACGAAACCTTTTGTCAGAAGCCTATTGTTTAGTAGTTGTTGGTTCATGTCTGTCATATTTGTTTTTTTAAATTCTTTGGTATAAATTATGCTGTTAGTTTTCTCAATTGAATTTTTTCATATCTTTCATGTCAGGGCCTTTTATAGCCGACTATACAGTATGGATTTGTGTAATTGTTGAAGGCCGTACGGTTGCCTATAATTGGTTACATCCAATTCATTTGAACTTTGGTCAATAGTTGTCTAATTGGCAATCATACCACATCTCCTTATTTTTTTATACTGATACATGTGTTTTATTTAGTTTCGAATAAGTACTTCATTGACATATGTCTCATTTCTTCTAGGATTATTATTACAAAATACATAGAATACAATAGGATGTAATGTCATTTAATGTAGATAAGTTTATAGAACGCTATTATTGCAAAGTCCTTTTATTGGACAGATATCTATACAGCTTATCACATTTGATTTGAGAGGAAAAAGAATATTTTGATAAAACCAACTCTACACCAAAGGGCATCATAATGGAGAAGAAATCAAACACAGACGATATATTTGTGGTATCAAGTTATTCAAGAATAGGTAATATTGAATTTGGGAATATATATTAAGGACATCAAATGGTTTCCCATGTATCCGTTTCCAATTTAATCACAGGAAGCAGTCGAGCTAAACATGTATTTATATTTTGACCTGACTATGTTTCAATTCAATTTCATCTCTGAATGAATGTAATCCCGTTATACATATGATATGACACGTCGTCTTCAATGACTTGAAAATATAATGAATGCATTTAATTGTTACTTACATCAGTTTTAGGAACTCTTTGTACGACTCCCTAACAATTAATGTGATTAATTGTTAAACTCTATACTGATCGAATATAGTGGTTTATTTTTTTGTATGAGATTATGATTAACACGGATATATTGAAAATGTTAAGTTAAAAAAAAAGTCGTGCTGTTTTTATTTCAGAATGTTTCTTAAACACGTATAGCAGAGGGTAAAGTAATGTTTTTATTATAAATTACTATGTTGGTGTAAAAAGAAAATCTATTTTATTTCTTCTGACTTAAACAGACTCACTGGTAGGTAGAAAATAGAGTCTATTTTGAAATTTTGAAATGTCTACCCAAAAATATCAAAGACATCACTTATATGAATTTAAATAGACGATGCATTTCAATTTTGACATTGCTCACTGACACATCAACATCAAAGTTCCACTTTTAAAAGTATTTTTCACTTATATACATATGTTCATAAAAGTTTTTCTTCACCATTTTGATCTTATTATTTGCAACTATTTGTTTTACTGAAGCAGTGATCGAGGAGTAGGACAGGAATTAGCTGTTTTATATTATGTCAAACGTACCTTTATCACAAATTTTATTTCTTATTTTTATAGAAATTGGACATATAAACTTGAGTTTCAATTCCTCATATACCTCTTTATTTTGAACAATTTGAAGGATGTTAATAAAACATCACAAACACCAGGCTTAAAATTATGTACACCAGTGTTTCATATACAAGACTGATCAGTGACGCTCGATTTAATCTTGAAGAAATTGATATTTGAACAGGTACATTTTTTGGCGATTTAACAAAAAAGCGAACGATCACGTGCAGGTTCTGCAATATTTAATAATCAGAAAATATATTTTTACAACTACTTTTCATAAAAAGGTCCATGGATGATTGGAGATAATATGGTAGGATCATACTTTATTCAGGCACTCATACATGCCTTCAAGAACTTTGCCTATCAAAAATCTTTTATGGATCTATTAAAAGAGGTGACTATTGAAATATGCTAATACTGCATAAAATATCATATTTTTCTTCTGAAGTTTGTCTTTAAGTAATGCAATAAGTTATTTGTTTGTTTGTTATTTCTATGATACTTATTTTGATGATGGTTGTAAAATTTGGTTTAAAAGTAGAACAAACTATTGTAATTACTTTCTAATTCTTTTAAGTAGTGCTAAACCATATTATAAGTTTCTGGAATGAGTAAATGACTTTATTAATTATATAATAAGCTTTCTGTTCTTGAAAATAAAACCTCAACCTGTCCCGCTTTGCTTCGTAACTGGCTACATAACCGCATACTGCAAGCAACCAAAATGGTGATGGAAACTAGCAGGACATGTTCGTACATCCGATCATTACTCATCATGTTACATATGTACCTACTTGATCACAAACATAACCATCTTTGCTATACTATTGACATGTAATACATGATACGTTTGATATGCCTAGAGGTGAACCCATTAGACACCGATACAGTTCTCATAAAAAAGTGAACAAACAAAAAAATTTCCATGAAGAAATACTTTTTTAATGGAGGAATTAAATTTATAGTTTTGAAAAATTGACACCTTAGTAGATGTAAATTTAGAAATATATCATTTGTTTTTCCCAAACTACTATTTCTCATTGACACAATTATATACTAGAATGAGGTAAATCCATTTAGCTTTCTGTTCTTATGTTCTCATGCGTTTAATATGTTATACTAGAATGAAATAAACCCATTTAGCTTTCTGTTCTTATGTTCTCATGCGTTTAATATGTTATACTAGAATGAAGTAAATCCATTTAGCTTTCTGTTCTTATGTTCTCATGCGTTTCATATGTTGACTTTACAACTTCTTGTCTTTAGTTTACATAGTAAAGGGTTTTCAAGAAATAAGTTCCTTGCTTACTGTTAATAAGCAATATTTCGAGATGAAAAACAGTAGTTTTTTCTTTTGTTTTTCTTAGTATGTGTGGGAATATTTTTGTCATGAATTACTATTTGCATGAATAGATATAAGAAGATGTGGTATGAGTGCCAATGAGACAACTCTCCATCCAAGTCACTATTTGTAAAAGTAAACCATTATAGGTCAAGGTACGGTCTTCAACACGGAGCCTTGGTTCACACCGAACAGCAAGCTATAAAGGGCCCCAAAAAATGACAAGTGTAAAACCATTCAAACGGGAAAACCAACAGTCTAATCTATATAAAACGAGAAACGAGAAACACTTATAAACCACATCAACAAACGAAAACCACTGACCATCAGGTTCCTGACTTAGGACAGGTGCAAACAAATGCAGCGGGTTTAAATGTTTTAATAGGTACCAACCTTCACCCTTACCTGATACAATAGTGTAACATCACAACATAGAAAGACATATTATAAAATAGCCATTATCTCTTTTCTTCTTTTTATTCTGGTACAATTCTGCAGACATTTTAATTGCAGCAAATTGAAATGAAAAGTTTTTTATTTTATTTTCATTCGTCTCATTTAGATGTATAGATGTATAGATTTGTTGATAGCTTTATCTTTGTTTCATAAAAAATTATATTTTATTTGGTTTTACCTACTCTTTTTTACACCTATACAGTATTTATGAAGAGTTTATTTACAATCTGATTAAAATACAGATCTTTACATTGATCTGACAACGCTCAGTTCGGACGCATGAAATTATTAAACGTGTTGTTTTCAATTTTTTACTTTCTGCATGTTAAGAGATCTTTTTGAATCCTCTAATGTTGTCGTAATTAAACATACCTTCAAAAAATGGGAAGGCTGAAATTTTAGAAGCTGATACAAAAGGTACCAGAATAGAAAGTAATATTCTTGTAAGCGAAAATTGCGATGTATAGGTAACATGTAAGATAAGATAAGATAAGATAAGATTTATTTTATTTAAGTGGCACTATCCATTACCGTATCTATCTATATATTCATCCTATTTCGACTCTTTCAATATTCAAGAGTCTATCCTAAATTGAGGTAAATCATATGGCCTTCCAAAGACCGTTTCGATTCCTAACATCACTGAAGAGACATTAATTGTCGAAATCCGGATATGGTGTACAAATTTTTGCACCTCATGTTTGCGGTATTCCAGTCTTTTCCGCAAACTTATTGTTTTCTGTTTGGTAATAAATTAATAATAAGATCCATTTTGTTACAGTGGTGATCCGTTTATTTGGCAATCGCCAATGGCAGTCAGCAGGGTTTAGGAACATCAGTTGTTCGACCTGCTAGTCAAATGCGTTTTGTTAAAATATACTTTTTCACTTTTTTGGTCTTTTGGAAAATGTTGTTTGTGCTGTATTTAGACCCCTCTACCAAGAAATTTGTTTTGCATGCACACGTATAAAAATTGCGGTTTTTATTGAACGCAAGCATAGGTTTGAACGTTGTTTTCAATTTAGACTTGTTTATAATTTTTCGTTTGGGCTTGTATTATATTTGCCTTCGGGTTTATATGATCCGTTCATCCTATTTCGACTCTTTCAATATTCAAGAGTCTATCCTAAATTGAGGTAAATTATATGGCCTTCCAAATACCGTTTCGATTCCTAACATCACTGAAGAGACATTAATTGTCAAAATCCGGATATGGTGTACAAATTTTTGCACCTCATGTTTGCGGTATTCCAGTCTTTTCCGCAAACTTATTGTTTTCTGTTTGGTAATAAATTAATAATAAGATCCATTTGGTTACAGTGGTGATCCATTTATTTGGCAATCGCCAATGTCAGTCAGCAGGGTTTAAGAACATCAGTTGGTCGACTTGCTAGTCAAATGCGTTTTGTTAAAATATACTTTTTCACTTTTTTGGTCTTTTGGAAAATGTTGTTTGTGCTGTATTTAGACCGCTCTACCATGAAATTTGTTTTGCATGCACACGTAAAACAATTGCGGTTTTTATCCAACGCAAGCAAAGGTTTGAACGTTGTTTTCAATTTAGACTTGTATATATATATATATATATACGGATCATATAAACCCGACGGCAAATATAATACAAGCCCAAACGAAAAAATATAAACAAGTCTAAATTGAAAACAACGTTCAAACCTATGCTTGCATTGGATAAAAACCGCAATTTTTATACGTGTGCATGCGAAACAAATTTCTTGGTAGAGGGGTCTAAATACAGCACAAACAACATTTTCCAAAGGAACAAAAAAGTGAAAAAGTATATTTCAACAAAACGCATATGACTAGCAGGTCGAACAACGGATGTTCTTAATATATACATAAAGTCATAAGAACGTAACATTTAGTAAAAGGATGCCAGCCAAAAACGACTTATGAGACACTATCATTAAAACAGACATCTAATACATACATAAAAAGACAACTTTTTTATCATGATTACATGTAACTTAATATTCAAAGTATCAGAAACTTCACAATAAACTGTCAACAACAAAATATTCACTATAGAAATGAGAATATATAATTGAAAGAAGACAATGAGCAAAATTCCAAAAAATACAATTTAAGCTGATACCATAATTAAAGATGGTTTGAATAATTTAAAAAAAATTCTTGAATATTTTGGTACTTTTGGAAAAGAAATAGTATATGCATTACTCCTGGTACTACGTGCTAAATCTATTTTATTGGAAGATCATTCCTAAATCAACCTTCATCGGGAATTCTCAGGACTGTTTTTGAAAGTAAAAAAAAATATGCATTTGTGACAATGAGAAAACAGATCTGAAATAAACTTATGTAATTCATACAAGTATATTGTAAAGTTACCATTGACTTTAACAGGCACATAGCTGTCTAATCCAGGCTGTTGTACCGGAAATGACAGACGGGGAAAACAGTGGTTCAATAGTGAAAAGAACTGTTGCAGAAATTGTATTATTGGAGTTTTGTGAAAGGAAAGCACTTTACTTCTTTCCAGGACTGACAAAGCTCTGCAGATGTAACGGTATAAGCTTGTATTAAATTAATATAACAACAAAACTTGGTGAAATTTATGCACTGGTAATGTTTTAACAATTTTGTTCTTTAAATAAATAAAGCTTTCATTTTGTTGCGTATTATCACATGAAATTACTATGAACCATGTTTTCAAATAAGTTACTGGACTGATGTCAGATGTGGTGCAAATACTGTTGACCATTCCGTAGCCCTATGTTCCCCCGCTTTTTTTCTGTGATTTGTGTTGCTAAATCGTAAGTCGTATATGTACTGTTTGGTAATTTTGTTTTGGTCCTTTTGCTATGTGTTATCGTTTTAAGTGGACCAATCATTTTCTATTGCCCAGTTGGTATTTTCTCTCTCTTACTATTCTATTAATATACATTCCTAGCTTTTTATATGCCATCAAAAAATAATTTTATAAAATAATAGTTTTAGTGTGGTTCGTGTTGCGTAGTCTTAAGCTATGTTTACTGTTTCTTTTGGTCGTTTCTCGGACGGTGATGATCCCTTCGCACAATCTTATGTATCCCAACTCCTTCGCTGTCTGTAGTAAAGTTCTGGATTTCAATGAACGTAATTTATGTATTACTGGTAAATTATTAAGTTAAGGATTTTGTTACCATACATTACTTAAAACCTTTACTTAATTCTTTCATTGATACAAGGATTTGGTTTTGAAGTTTGACTAAAATAACAATATATATTGAATTGTTAAAACATATTTTGAATATAAGGGTGCTATTGGACTATAAAAAACAACAACATTGTTTATACGTACCCAAAAGTAGATTACATGTTCCTTTTCTCAGAAAGTATATGTTTTAGACGCTTTTCTACCCATCTTAACTTTTATATATTTTTTAGTATTTCATTTGGAGAATTGTGTGATTCATGTTCAACGAAAACAAAAAGGTGATCTTTTACATTTCTGGCAAAAAAGATATATATGTATGGTTATTTTTCATGAATTTGTATGTATCACGAAAGCCAGTACAAATACTTGTTCCAAGAAATTAAAAAAAAATAGAAACTTAAAATACTAGGGCTTCAATCAGT